AAATTATGCCTGGATCTTTACTGCAAGAACCCGCATGTACTAGATCCCCTTCGACAGTTTATAATACTTCCAAGCAATAAAACAATACGGTATGGAAAAGTACAACGGCACTTCATGATTTTATAAAGTTACTGGGAAGTGTTTAATAATTATTGACAAAAATAATTTCGCCCTGTCCCTTTTCCATATTGTGTGAAATAAAACAGCAACATTATTGAGATCTATGATAATTGGTCTATATTTACAGAATTTGTAAGAACAAAGTTAAAGATATCCCAGGGTGGAATGATGAAATCCTTAGATGGTACCTCAATGCTGCTGAAGAAAGTGGTTTGAGACCAGGAGATTACTTAGGAGGATTTGCAATTGATCAGATGAAGATTCCTGTGAATTTTAGAAAATTTGGAAGACATACTACACTAATGAAAGGTATCCAGCATAACACTCATGTTTAAAATGAAACGTTCACAATTAAAGCAGTGAATATGCTTTTAAGTGAAATCAAATACTTTTTGCCGTCACTATTTTTGGATAGACATGTACATTTCACTACAAAAACAAAATTAAGTATACTACTCACTTGACATGTGTCCTGGGAGATTTTTAGTTTTTTAAAAAAAAAAAACAGTTCAATATTTTCATTTCCAAGCAGATTACTTACTTACATAGCACTAATACTGATTACCTCATTAAACTTACAGAAGAACCTAGAGATGACCTCTGTAGGTGGCAAACACAACTGATCTTGTAGGCTTTGTTGACCTTGGAAAGGGTCACGAACTGATGGGGAGTTTATCAGGTTTGTTCTATAAATAACTTGCATGTCATCAACAACATTTGAACAGCTAACATAAATATATAGATTTGGCAAGGTGCCTCTTTTTCTATGTATTATTTTTATAAGGAGCAGTCAAATTAGAGTAACAACATAAACTATAGGCCAAAAAAATCTTAACATCCCTATGAATTGTACTGTATGGGCCTTTGGCACCAGATAACCTTTTAGAGGAAGGGGCTAAATGATTGAGAAAAAATATCCTATAACAAACCTGAATTGAAAGTGTTAAACCGTAGGTCCCTTCAGTTGCAGCAATTTACAGGTTATGATTTCTAAATCAAAACTTCAACATTATATTATCAATTTCAGGTCAAGGCAATGATCTAGAACTAGCAACACATGTGCTACAATTTGTCTTTCTGAGTGACGGTGGCTTCAGGTTCCCAATAGCTCAATGGCAGTGTGTGAAATGTGCACCAAGTGACCTGTAACATCTGTTCTGGGAGGGAGTCCTGAAGATGTTAGAAATTGGATTTAAGTGAGTGAAATGACTAGTTTATTCTCCACTATGCACATACTGGTACAATTTAAGTCAACAATATTAATATTAATTAACAGGCATATACAGCCTAATAGTAACAATATACTTACATTGCTTCATCGTTATCACATGGCTGGTAGGTATTTAAGTTGTACCTGAAAATATGGAAAAAGAATAATTGATTGCAAGATAACAAAAAAGGACACAATAACAAAAGAATATGTAACAAAGTAACTTAGTACTATTAGTACTATCCTTAATAACTGAGTATCAATTTATTGAATATATTCTTTTCTAATGTAAAAAATATACTGGTGTGTGATGGATGGTGCAGATTGTCATAGGCAGTTCATTGAATTGCATTTCAAGAATAAGGACCCTGCTGAAAGCAAGTTTGTCACAACCAACATTTATACTGGGGGTCTAATGATATTTATAATGGATCTAAAGGTAAAAATCTTTTTCTGCTTATTAATATAATATTACCCCTTACATTGTGGGTTACATGAGGATTGAGGAGTATAATAAAATTGAGGGTTTGGAATGGAAACATTGATTCTCACATGTTCACTACATACATACATACATACATACATACATACAAACATACATACATACATACATACATACATACATATATACATACATACTGTATTTGATGCGTAGATTAAGAAAAAGGCAGCCATAGGCTGATGTGGACCTACAGAATTACAATTACAAATAACATAGTAACAAAGACAGGAAATAGAACTATTTACAGAAATTCAATAGAGATTATTAACAAGCTAAAATATTTAAATGGGTCACAATTTACAACAATATAATTAAAATAAGCAAAAATATTTTTAAAATAGATAAAATCCTTTGATTTCATTGTGATGACTGATGCTTCTTCATTAAAAGAAAAGGCCTCTAAATCAGCTTTGATTTCTTTTTCAAAGAGCTTTTCAAAGAATTTTTCAAACTATTTGCACTGGCATGGTTCTAGGTGATCAAATTATTTTTTTTATCTGCTCTAGAAGAATTTATTGGGATGAATTTAGTCAATACAACCTAAAATCCTCATCAAAAAAACTTACTGGTATGTTGATTTTGATAGCAATAAATAATTGACGCAAAAATTTAAATTTGTTATCTTTTCAGCAGCATACCATCAAAAAAATAAGGAACAATATTTAAAAAAGCAACAAAAATGGCAAGCCTAGGTGCCTCAATATTGGTGGGAAATGTATCATCTGGAGCCAATTCAGAGAAGCTTTTAACTGGGACCAGCAGAGCTGCAGCCTGCCATTACATGAGAAGTTAACTGTCCAGCACTTTGACATTGATTCAGTCAGCATTATGAGGAACAAGCTTGCAGAAGATGTGCTGGATTCGAAGATGCTTTTTTTGATGCAGGTGAACAATATTTAAAACCTCTTGAAACAATTTTGTATAGTTATATATTAAAAATCTACTTGCATTCCAGAAGTACCAGGGACACAAATCCAATGATGCTAATGCACTAGATGCAGTGATTGAGCTGTTGCATCACACAAGTGAGCTTCTCAGCCTATTTAAACAATAGAGTGTTTTTGTCGAGGAACTATAGGCTGATAGCTGCCCAGCGGAAATTTGATGTTCTTAAAACAAATATGCTAATTTTAAAAACATCAAATTTTCATGGGGTAACTATCAGACCTATAGTTCCGAGACATAAACACTCAATTGTTTTTATTGTTCACCACTAAATTTTCTTCTGCGCCTACAGCTTGTCACAAATGTCAATAATTTGCAACCGTACATTGGCTAAATAATACGTTATACCTGTCAGAATTGAAAAGTCACTGTTTTTCCGATCTGCCTACCTTCGCGGCCGTCAAACTATTCAAAACTTTTCACGGATGAGTACTATCAATCCAGGTATTTTCCGTGGACGGGCACTATCCATCCGGGAATTTTCCACGGGCGGGCACTATGGGCTGATAGTGTCTCTCCACAGATGAACACTATCGTGTCACGTGATCGATTTAAACCAATAAGAACCAGAGAAAATTTAGTGGTGAACTATAATCAATGATATAATTTGGATATATCAACAAAGTTGAAATGGTAAATTGGCCACCGTAACGATTACAAAAGCTGACGTTTCGCAGCCCCAAACAGTTTCTTTCAAAACTATCAGCCTTTATAATCAATGATAGGCTCTTTATCACTTCACCACATGATGCAACACTGAATAGGCTGAACAGCTTTTATTACTGGATGCACCACTGGGCTGATGAAAGCCAAAGCCACAGCAACCACTTCATATCCCGTAAACTTTGGTTTGACTTGCAATCAATGTGCCTTGGATTCCAGTCTCTGGTTCACTACAAGCTTACTGAATTTCCAAGTAAGACTGCATTATTATATTATTATATTATGAATTATTTTTTTATCTTTTTAGCCTTGTTCTTGCTGTAACTTTTAAAATTAGTAATTAGGATTGGAGATACTAGCTTGTAAGCTACACTGAAATTCGAGGATAAATAAAGCTTATGATGCATGTATCTATGTGGAGAATCATTTCTGCCAGATATGTTCTTGCAATGGGCAAAACCACAATCCCACATTTTTACAGCAGCAGTCAACCCAGAATTCTATTAGGCTAGGGCAAACAACAATCAGTTCAAAGAGCAATGCATCCTGTAACAGCCACTGCTTAGGCAAGAGGCCATGAATTAAAGGAATAGTTATTCAGATAGAGTGCCATGCATTTACGTGTTAGCATCTCTTTGGAGTTTTTCCTGTTTCCTTCAATACTAAAAGTATAAAATTCTCTCAATGGGAAATCTAAAAATATAGAAATGCACAGGGCTGTGCTCTTAGCACTATGGCCTGTGGTGTCCAATTTTATGAAAACTTTTGCTCTTGGGCGACAAGAAAACATCACATTTATTTTCAGCAGTTTTCCTACATACAGCAACTTTTAAATAAGTTATATTATTATACTCAATACCTCTTGAAATCCTTATCCTAATATGTCCATCTACTTCAGTGCTTTCTGTCACCCGCAATATTCTATCGTCCACTGTATGGTCTTCATCATCCATCTCCAGGCACTCTGCCTCAAACTTTTCCCTCCAATACTTTTCCCTTTTTTCTGCATTTAGCCCTGCTTGCCTCTCTTTTTGAAGCTGCTTGCTTACTTCGGCTTTGGAGAGGAAGCGCTTGTTGGTAAAGGGGCTGACTATTCCGTTGTTCTCAAGTTTTCTCTTTTTGCATTGCCGAACCGAATATTGCAATTTTTTGCAATTGGTGCAAGAATCACCTAAACTGCAGATAATTAAACATTTTGCAGAAAATGCTCTCCTTTCCGAATTGTTTGCTGAACTTGTCAAATCAGCGGAGTAATTGCCACTTTCATAGGGAAGCGTAGTATGTAGTGCCTCATTTGTAACTGTAATCCCACGACATAACGGGTAGCTATTAACAGTGGACAAGACCAATTCTATTCTGCCTTGTTGGTTTTCAGGGCAGTCGAATTTGAAGAAATCGGTGATGTAAGTTTGACATCCATGTGCTTGTACTGAAATGGAGTTGAATCCATTTTCGTCCCTTACTTTAATCTCCGTAATCACTCTTTGGTTTTTAAATGACCAAGACTCGTGGCGGATGAAAGAGAGATCTTCTCCTTGATCAAGTAAGTGCCAACCTTTCAGGGATGAGATCTGCTGCATCTGTGACCTAAGGTCAACCAAGCTGGTGTTACAGGGCGATTTTCGCTGCAGATTTTCATAGTAATTCACCCGCCTTTGTTTGTGCGAGCCCCGTTTTACTAGCTTTACTCTGCATCCCCATATTTGCTTTATTAAGTGACCGAAAAGTTTCGAGTTGGGAGGGCGGGCAAATTTTTCTTTCACTTGCTCTGCATCAGAAATTATGTCGTTGACTCGTAACAGACCTCCCTCGCAGTGTTCAAAGCTCCGCAGCAACCTACAACAAAATATGTTCATATTGTACGTGTATTCGTAATTTTTTTATAGTATCCGTGATAGAATTCAAAGGTATCGTAGTTAGTCTACCTCGTTTGTTATATTTTTAAAAACTTACCATGCCTTCCATTCCAGCGATGAAGTCATCACGTTAAAAAGAACAGGAAAAAAAAAAAAACTTTGGCGAGTTCGAGGATGAGAACAACAATGACGATCGATCCTGTATTCACGATTCTGTATTCAAAATCAAAGCAAACATCAAAACAGCAATGACCTCATCCTCATCGATGTTCTGGCGACGCTACATCGAAGGCGTTCGTCTAGAGTTGGACGTCACGTATGGGATAGACCAGAAGGCCCTCCCTCCTTTTGAGACTGGGACCGAGTGTCATCGGAAAAAGTCGGAAAAAACAAAATGGCGGACGAATGAAATGCAGTGCTGAATAAACAAAATCTCCAAAAAATCGATTGATGCTCAATATGATACTTAAACACGAAGGCGCGCTATAAATGGAGAGGTGCCTTAGGGTATGGCGTCCCATCGGGGCCAAAATTCAACATTGCGATTTGACATTGTACTTTTAGTATTCTTCCTTATTTCGCGATTGGATATCCAAGTTTTTATTCCTTATGAAACTTTTTCCGATTCAACATTGTCTTTTTTACAATTAAACTTCCAAGTTTCAAGTATTAAACATTGTACTTCTCGTAATTCCACTTTGTAGTGGATATTCAGCATGCAGTACTTCGCGCTATTCAACATTCAACTTTCCATCATCCAACCGCAATCCAGCTATTAACGAAGGAGCGCAGGCTCACTAAGGTCAAGTACCTCATGAAAGCCTCATAACATCGTACGAGGTTATCTTGTGAGATGAAAAATGGACGATATCTCGTATTTGCTGGACCGTGTTCATAATATCCTAGAGATTTTAATTAATGTTGAAGGCGTACATAACAGTCATGGAAATGTTCAGCTTCTTGTTGGTAAAGTAGATTTGATGCAAAGGATGTTGGTAAATCAAGACATCGATGATTTCATTACAGAAACCATGGGAAGAGCTCATAGTTTGCTGGTAGAAATCGAAAGAACTGCGAATTCTTTTGGAGGTTATAGCGCTAGCGTGGAACAAGATGGTAGATGTGGACGTCCCTCTTACGTAATAAGCAAAGAACAGCTCTCATATTTAATTGAACAAGGTTTTAAATTGCAAGAGATTGCTACTAGGAACCTTTCTGCCAAGAAAAAGAGAAAATCAATCCTTTTTCTAGGTTGAAAGATATGAGCATTTTTAGATTCAAGTCACTGCAAAACGTTCAAGATGAAACCTCCATGCACTCACTTAGTAGAAGCTACAAGAGGAAAAAACAGCCTTCGTTCCTCGGTAACATTCCCCTGAATTATATTCATCGGTAAAAATTGACATCCCAAATCTTACTTATAACAGAAACGGAGGATCAAGTCTTTGATTCTTGATATCTATTTAGATTGTAGAACAAGACTGAATGGGGATGTATAGAAAACATTGACCGGGGTCCATGGACCACCCCTTTGGACCCCGTCAATGGACCACCCCTTTGGACACGGTCCATGGATCACCCCTATGGACCCGGTCCATGGAACACCCCTATGGACCACCCCACTGGAACTGAGTTTTGTCGTACACGTGGGAAACATGGAGGAAGGTAAGAAGGGAAAGTGTTGCTATTTTTTCCTTCCCCGTGTTTGGTTTTTTACACTAAGTAAATAAATAAATAAGTAAAAGGACTTCCTTTTGTCCGAGTTCAGGATAGCCCTACGATGCTCTAAAAAATACTGCGAAACCCGCAAAATATCCCCCGTATCATTTATAAATGAATTAAAAAGTGCATTTCTGCCATGGATTTAACAGATAAAAAAGCTTTGACTATGCTCTGTTCTGTTGTAAAGCACTCAAGATGCAGTTAGATCACGAGAGAAGTGTAGGGGGTAACACGAGACGTAGTTCTTCTTGAGTAACCCAGGAACTACTTTATCCTATCTAGTTTTCAACCAATCAAGGCTCATATTTGTCCATTTGAAATTTATCATCTTAGCCAAAGACCCCTCCTCAATAATGATTTATTTTCTCAGTTATTTTTCTCCTCAGGTCATTAAGAGGATTTGATTGGCTTTCACATTTACGAACCACGAAACGAAATGTCCGCGTTTAAGGCAGTTCGGATATTTCACAATAAAACAAAAGAAAACATGATATAATCTTTCTCCAAAATCCTTACTCCCTATGTCTTACGTATAGGAAAGTTGGAAATTAAATATTTCCTTCCTTGCTTAACCATGGACATTCATTCGGAAGTTCGCTATATCGTGTTTAGACTCTTGCGCATGCAATGTGTTTGACCGCGCTGTCTTAAACAGACTAAGTTAGGAAAGACTCAGTATGTGCGAGTATTTTAATCATAATAATTATTATTTTCTTTCTTAAATTCGTTAGAACGTGACTTGTCTAAAAACCGGCTAAGTTAGGGGTGCAGGGATGGCGGAGTGGGGAGAGCGCTTGCCTCCCAACTGTGCTGTGGCCTGAGTTCGAGTCCCGCGTCTGGTGTTAAATGTGGGTTGAGTTTGTTGTTGATTTTTGTTCTTGCCCCAAGGGTTTTTCTCCGGGTCCTTCGGTTTTCCTCCCTTCACAGAAACCAACATTCCAAATTCCTAGTCGACCTGGAAACAGTGGGCAAGAAGAGCAACTTAATGGGATGTCCACTGCTGAAATTATCATTACCACTTAGGAGAGTAGATACCTGAGAAAGGCGAGTAAAACCGAGTGAAAAAAAACAAAGAACATCCTTCATGATTATGCTCACAATGGCGCAGTATTTTAGAGGAAATATATCTGCACTTATTAGTGCCATAACTTCAGTGTGTGCCCTTTCGGAAATTAGACAAAAAGAAATTTGAATTTTCAATGCATTATTTACCCGGTTTCGCTGCATGATATGGTCACGAGAGGAACACTAACAGGATGGCCACAGCAACATGTTGCTTCCAGCGCGCGTTGGGCTTCAATTTTCGTTGCAAAAAAACAAATCAGTGCGGTAACATTAAATTCACTATTTTTGCAATTATGGATTTCGTTTCTTAACTTTGAAGAACTTTTTGGTAACACTTAAAAAAACAAAAGTATAGAGACAAAATGACAAGATAGAAAGCGAACACACTAAACTGTTGCGCAGGACAAACTATGCAATAATTAACAATCACTCCACGAGCGCGAGTTGGATATGAGATGATAGATAGCCAACGAGGCGCGTAACGTTACTGATATTACGCGAGGGGTTCTTTTTGAACTATACAATGTTACAATGACTATGTTTGGTAAACTGCATGAATCAACCACGGTAAGCTTCATTGGTACTGAAGCAATGCCAAAATGAAAGCACACCACAGAAACGTGGCTTTCAGGAGAATAAATGATAACTTGTCTAAGCTGTTATTGTCTAATTCCTCCTCACCTGTCCCTTATCAGGAAAGACACTTTAAAAGTAGTTTGTTAAGTCGGTTTGACAATCCACTCGACAGCTCTTTCAAAGCCATTTAACATGGTCACTCGGCGACAGTTTAACAGCCACTTAGCTGGAAAGACGCGATTTTGGCAGCGGAGGAAGTTGCGGACAATTAACCCGTTATAATCTGCTACTGATGACCACGTGAGCTTGCGATTACGCTGGAAAGGGACCTCAGAGGTCACCAAAGCAGCTCGGAGGTAAGTGATGAACTCTACACAGTGGTCTTGGTACTCCACGAAAGCCTGTCTCGCGGTGGAATAGGCGATGGCATGACTTTTGGTGTCTTCAAGGACTTTCTTGCGAAAGTTGTCCCCTCGTGGCAAGTCGCGTGCAAATTTGGCAGCCTTGAACTCCCAATCTGTAAACTGGATCCAGTTCTGAAACTCAGTGATGATGACTGATGAAGGGTTATTGGGATTCATGTGTGGTTTCAACTTTTCCAGAAGTCTCCCCAGTGGTACAAAATCAGCGATATTTGAGGTTGTCACTCGATCGTACTTCCGGTCTGGAGGAAGGAATGGAGTTATCTCCATACAGTTGCACAACAGGAAGTGAAATTTCACTTGCCCTGTCACCAACCTCAGAGAGCATCTCTTGAGCACCTGACTAACATACTCACTGTACATTTTCAGAATTGACGGTGCACTGCTTACACGGCGGACATCTTCGTAATCCCATGATGTGAAGGGAGAGACCGAAGACTGAATGATGTAAGAGAACGGGCCTTTATTACGACTGATCTGAAAGTCAGAACCTGTCAGAGTGAAATTTTCAAAAAGAAGCGCACCTCTCGATTCCTTGGACAACAGGATCCCGTTGGCAAACCAATCTGATGCAGACTTTTTATGCTCTTTCGGGATTTCGGCCAAGTGCAGTCTCATGCCCTCCTTCGCTCCGGGGTTGTCAAAGCGTCTTCTTCGGGCTTCCGTTATCCACTTTTCCTTCCGTGAGCTAAGTTCCAGCCAAGTTCGCCACACTTGCGCGACTTCATGAAGTTGGTTTTGCTCCATCCTCAGGATGCCTTCTGTCAGTTCTTCAAGGCTGGACGTTTGGATTAAATCTTCCAAGGCATTGACAACCAGCTTATAATCATATTCGCTGAGATACAGTGAATACCAAATCTGCGTCACGGAACTTGCAGCTTGCTCTCCGCCTGTTAAAACAAAACCAAAAAAATCCATTTAACCTTGCTTTCTACACTTATTCAGATCCCATTCAGTCTGTAGTAATTCAAATTGTGAGGGAGTTTTGGAACTGAGTTCTGGATCCTCATTGCACCAGGCAGGTTGCCTGATCTGTCAAGTAGGGTGACCCTGTCAGCCGGGATCGCAATTTACCATGTACGCATCTTAAGGTGGGGTAACCCGCCTAGTTAGGGTCGCGTTCATGTTACATTTGGAAGCGCGTGAACCACCTCATCCTGGGATCTCGGGGTTGGAAGATTGTATGTAAACGCAGGTTTTTAATTCCACCACAGCTTAGCAGGTTACCTCACCTACCCAGGGGGTCCCCCCACCTTCGTGTAAACAGGCCCTGATTTTAGAGTCCAAATTTTAGTCCCAAGGTGTTCTACAAGACCCTCATCCAATCTTTTTAAACTGATCTGCTGATGTACGCACAATTCCAATGTCCTTGGTTACCCCCTTTGTGGCTCTGATTTATATAAACGTGCCTTACCTTTGATTATCATATAAAGTAAAAGTATCGCTCTGGCGAGTGTACAGGCGCAAATGTCATTCAAGACAAAGGTGAGCTCTTCTTGGTAAACTTCTGGAAGCTTTGAGACCGACAACACGATATTGCGTGGGTCACCAACACCACAAGCAAGGATTGACATAGGCTTCGAATACTCAGCACCTTCGTTCAGCGGAAATTTGATAAGATCTTGTGCAGGAATGTTACCCCAGTAGTAAACCGTTGCAGTGCCTGGCGTAAACTCTGTGAGGTCGTGGAGTTTCTTAATCTTTAGAGACATTTCTCTTGTATTTCTCGTCATCTTTTGACAAGAAACTTTATGTGCGGGCCAGGATTTCCTCAGACAAGCCTGATCGCAATACCAGGCTTGCAGACAGCTACCGCACTGTTTCAATCGGCAACTTTCCTTACTGCATCCAGAACATTTCCTCTTTAAGGTGGCAGTTTGGCAGTCCACCTCATGTCGAAACAGATCCCTGTTCCTGCACATTTCGCTGCAGTAATAAGCCACCTCGCATTTACTACAGCACACCTTCGAAGTCGGTGACTTACAGGTAACATCACATCGCCAACACCGATCATTCTTTAGCATTTTCGCCAAATTCACTTCTCGGTAGTGTGAAACCAAATCAATTTAATTCAAGCGGAAGGCCCTTTTGAAGTGATGCGCATGCGTAACCACAACATTGTGTTTCCACGAAAGGAGGCCGGTTTCCGGGAATTGGTCATAACAAACGTCTGCATTCTGCTTTTAATATAAGCCTAAAAATAATTAAATTTCATGTTAAGGTTATCATCAATTTTTTCGATAGTAAATGAATTATAATATTCATGACGTAGCTAGTAATACCGGTACCCCTTACAGAGTCCAAATTATTCTCTTTTTGCATATACGGTCCCAGAGCTACGTCAAAATATCTTACACAATGACAACGATAGTATGGGTTTACATTGCCAACTGTACTTGTCGGTGAAGTTCATGGGAAATGTTTTCATGCCATATCATATATACTCCGTCTTCGAAAACGCTTCAGTTCTCTGTAGCGGCGTTGAAAATAAAAGAGTACCAGGGCCCGCGCTACAAATGTTTGACTGGGTTGGAGAGGGAACCATTATAGATTTGAACGAGGAAATATTGTCTATTGTCGACCGAAATGTATTTAAGATGATCACCCGTACTTGTCTAGCTGCGAGCTTTCATAGGGGGTGGGGATGGGGAAGTCGATTTCACTTCATGACTCGAAAGATAATTACTGTTTTCAAAGGGCTCTTATTCTAGAGTTACCTAGTATGAAAACGCGATGATACTCAGTTCGCGAGAGGAAGGGAGGAGAGGAAAAGTAGACTGGGGCCTCTAAGATGGCAATGGCAAATAACCTGCATGGACATGTATAGTTTCCCAAATTAAGTCTGAGGCGAATTAAATAGATTAGATTAAATGCAAATCGATAACAACTCGATGAACCCTCCTGTCACCCACTGACACTCGCGTCATTTTGCAGATCAATATGCGATAGACTTCCGCGTCTTAAGAAATTACAACAAGTAGCAATAAACAAACAGGGCCTCTGCTTCTAAACTAAAACAATTAAGGAGTCGCCGTTAGAACAGTATTGGCTCCGGCAAATAAAAACCTCTATAGCTGGATTACAGGATTAACGAGCGATAATCGTGATAATTCCCTAAAGGAGTTCATTTGCCCTTCACGCTTCGATTTGCCTTGTCTCTTGACTTAATACGCCTTGAGTGATTCGCAGATCATTGGATTCTCTGTCAGAAACACAGAGACGGTTCTTTGTCAGTGATGAATAATTTAGTTTCACGGAAACATAAAAAGAACTCGATCGAAAGGAAAAGGAATGTTAAATTGGAAATAAAACTCTCAAAAACCATGAAAATTACAAGACAAACGAACCAAATTAGGACAAAATAGGCTTGGTTTTCTTTGTTAGAAGCCACTTGAGGTTCTTAGTATGTAAAACTGTGGCATTGAAAACCAGACAATTGACGCGGCTAAAAATATAATTATTAATCATCAACTGTCTGACAAAATAGCTTTGTCGTGATTCCCTGTGACAACATCTGTTATTTTTCAGATAGAAACTCTTTCAAAGAATAATTTTATCCTAGGTTTTGTGAAAATGTAGTTATTTTGTATCGTTTGTTTGAATGGTTGTAGTGGGCTAATTAGCAAGGCGCGCTTGGGGCTCGTTGCCTAGCAACACAAACTGATAAAGAAAGAAATCACATTCACCCTTTCAAATGAATTTTAAACAAGGTAATGGAAAATGGACAGCAAATTCAATAACTTATTCCGCAGTGGGAAAGCAGGTTGAATTATTCAATAATTCCCAAACAATTTTGATATGGAACCAGCTGACGGTCCGAGCGTAGAAACGGGCAGTAAAGAAAGAGAGCTAATAGAAAAGCTACTCGATTCTAGCGAGAGTCGAGAGGAAGAAGATTTTGACCGTGTCGTGTTCTCGAGCAGCTGGGATGAAGTCACTTGTGGATGGAAACGCACAGCGCCAAACGTTCGATATATTTCATCCGCTGATCGAAAGAAGAAGGCTAAAGACAAATGTTGGCGAAATAGCCCGGATTCGGAAAGTCATTACGCTAAAGTGAAGCGTCTCGCTGGAATGATCACGAATTCGAATTCGAACGTAAATAGCGTCACTGAAATAAACAAGGTAAAAACAGGAGGAACGTGGCCAGGAAATAAGACTGTGAGAACAAATATGCGGAATTTTCAAAACGCTGATGTGCTATCTTATGACAGCCCTTGCTGGAGATACATTATTGATCCTCGAACGTTGGAATATGTCGAGAGAACTCCGCTTCAAGTGCTCAGAAACATGACTGCCTCTCACAAATATCCGAACCAAACGCTTCTTCTTGAGAACGGTGGCATGATCACTTTTCAAGAGACCAGCAATGGAAGCATTTCTATCAGCGATCCGGCGCAGACCTTTGATCGTCGTCTCCTGGAGAACTTAGATCTGAAAGGAGAGTTCTTTGTTGATAAGCGCAGGTTTCCTTTCTGTTTCGAGCCTTCCGTTCGTGTTCCGTTGATCACCCAATACCGAACCGAAGATCATAAAATCAAAGTGATTCACGCAGTAGCTGCACGGAAGGAAAACCCAGTGGTTTCATTCTGCGATTTATGTCAATTGAGACCTCAGGATATCGTCAAACCTTCCTCAAAAGTTGAGATTTCTACGAACAGTTCAACGGAGCTTAAGCCTCTGCAGAAGATTACACCGGCACAGCGGCAAACTGCTGATGACAGCATCTTGGCAAGTAAAGTTTTGGGGTCACACTCTAAAAAATTGGACGATTCCACTAGTTCAAAAGGGTCCAAAAAAACGAAGGATCAGAGGGTTGTGAGCCAAAAAAGAAAATCTGGCCCGGTAGGGGAGGGTAAGTTGGACTGGCTGCCAATCACCAGGAACACCATTGGATACCCATATCCTTCAACAGTTGTGAGTCAGCCTCATGGTAAATTTGCTGAAAGGTCATCAGCTGGTTTCACCAAGGCATTCTCTTTACCAAAGTGCAACAAGAAAGGAAAGAAACTGACTCTGAGTGAGGCTGCAAATATAGTGCCAAGTACGGGAAAGCTGGATGATGCACTGAAAAAACTGTCCCAAGAGATGGACAGAAAGGTGAAGAAAGGCCTCAGCTTTTCTGAGCCCTTGTTGCCACGTGTTTCTGGAACAAAACTGGAAGTCCCAGCTTTGGCTAATATATGTGACAAATGATGTCAGAGAATGCCATAAATCATACTTCATCAGGCATGCAAAATGTTAGAACTTCCACAGCATCCAAGCAGACATTTAAGTATAAGCTATAATAATAAACATCTTCGCATGCATTACTCTACTACCCCTAAGCCTACAAGTTCATGGGAAAAAAGCTTGATCACTATATACCACTGACATAGGAGTAAAGCTTGTCATTATGATCTGTATTTATTTCCTTGATAAGTTGTTAATTTCTTTTTAGTTAAAATGTAAAAGTTTCAAGTCATTTCTGATGATGAATAATACAACACCTCAGTCAGAACTGAATTTATAATCTTGGTTGCTGATTTCTGTACATCATTTCTGAAGTTTACAATGCTATAAACTGAGTGTTTTTAATTTTAGAAAATTTAAGTTAGTACTGTCTTTGTTAGGGTTAGGAATCATTGACAAAGAAATGAACAATGTTAATAGATGATTCTTTTTTCTATTACAGATACTTCAGTTTTAACATTAGTAGTACTCAACAAAATCAGGAAATTTATTTCATTGGTGTACACATTCAGCTCAATCCTCAGTTTTTAAATAATGACAAATGCATAGTTCTCTATTTTTCAATAAAAGAAAAGCAACTTCAATCAGTTAATATTTTGAATTTTTTGTCACTTGATCAGCTCTGTGAAGTGCTTTTTTCTTACAAAGTTATTAGTAAATAATAACAAACTGGAGGGTCAGGTGAGTGAAGAGGAAAGAAAAGCTGAAAATCTCACAGTGCTTTACAAGGGAGTTAGAATTACATAGTAAGAATACTTACCTCACACTGGCATCTCCAGAGTTTGAGTACCAATTCCATCATCACATAGTTTGAGGTTTGCTTTTCATCTTTTGTAGGGAACATGTGGCATGATGGTTATTGTGCCAAACTTCAAACCCAGAGGGCTATTTGGAACTCTGAAATTCAGTCTTGGAGAACGTATAACTTTGTCACAAAGGCATATTTTCATGCTGTTTTGGTGACAAAATTTTGCTTTGTCTAGTTTGAGGTCATAGTTTTTCAAACCAGAAAAAAATTGTGTTAAACTGGAAGCTATCCTTGGTATTTCAGCTTGTGATGATTTTAGTGCATGACATATCATTTTCTTCTTTACTGGTGAACCCTTGAACTCCCAGAAGTGATTAACATGTACCTTCTCCCTATGATATCCATACATGCTCCAGTAAACAGGTAATGAGAATACTCACACTTATCAGGTAAAAGTTGACATAATGTAACAACAAATTCTTGTGACTAATGTACAAGAAATTGTGTAGCAGCTAGAGGAAAGAAATTAACAATCAGATCTTGGGAGTTGAAGAATTAATAATATAACCCACAGAAACAGATCTATTTTATTTTGCAATTTTATTGCATTAAAGGTACAGTATGCTACAAACCACTATGTCTGAGTTTCAACACTGGACATCAGACAACTGTGATCAACAACACTTGAACAGGTTTGTGTTTGACAACCTGTGGAGGTGACAGAACAACTGCTGCACTGTTCATACATGCGTGATGTGTGTACACAGTGTGAATCTGTCTGAACACTGGACGACAATAAACTGGAACAGTCCAAGTCACTCTGCAATGTTTGAGTTTGTGAGTTTGCAAGAACAGTGTCATCAGCCAGCTCGGTGAAGTCTGACATTACTATGGATGTTTGAGTATGTATGTCAACCAAGTCTTCAAGAGTTTTGTACACAAACTCCTGCCCACTGTTTTCAAGACCTGGTGAAGTGACTGTTGAGTAGTCGTTAAACCATGTTTGGGTCTGCGACTCTGTCAGCTCAATGTCTTCAGAGTCAAATAAATCATTGAGAAGGTTTTGAGTTTGTGTTCCAGAATCAATAGAGCTATTTGCATCAATACCCAGGAAGGAAATCAATGTCTGTGTTTCGTTATCCTCTAGAGGAACTTGCTCCAAGCCACTTGTCTGAGTTTGTGAGCTAGTTAATGGTCGGAGGTCACAAAGACCAAAGTCTGAGCTTGTAATATTTGTCTGTGTTTGGATATTCAAACACAGTGGATCAATGGTAAGAGTCTGCATTGAGTTCTCATTTGTGGAAACAAACCCTGATCTTTGTTGCCCTGTAACAAAAGAACTATAGGGAGGAAGAGGTTGAACCTGGGAATCTTGTGGAATCCTTTCTGCAAACCCAAATGGTTGACTACTACTACTACCAGCTAAGCCTAACTGTGCCAGGAAACTTTCATCAGTGCCAACGCCAAAGTCACAGTGGTCTGTCAACACGGCAACTTGAGTCCCAACAGAAGATTGGTTATTGAAACCAATTCCTAGATTCCCATCAACATTGTTAAACTGAAACTGTTGGCTTGCAGTTGGTGGAGGAGTCTGTGTGTATGAATCACACCCTTGATCCATACTCACTGGACAACTGGGTGTTTGGGTACACATACTGTGCACATCGCAAGGAGGCTGTGTTTGCACGGACTTATTAACTGCTCTTTTTCTTGAAGAACTGAAAGAGCCTCTACCGATTTCTAAGGCTGTGACTGGGCCAGGTTTAGGTAGGATTGGCTGAAGTTTTGCAGCCTGATTTCCTGGACTGTCTTTCTTTCCAGAGTTAATTCCTACACATGGTATTGAGGTTGCAGGTTTAACAACAAGTACAGCAAATGCTGGTGCAGGTACTGGAGATTTTGTGCTAAAAATAGATATGAAAAGAAAATTAAGGTCATCTTACCTTACACCAAGTGTAGTAATAAAACAGAATGTATTCTTACAGGTATCTAATTTTCAAGCTAAGTGTATATGCTGTAGTTCAATTTTATCCTTGGTTCAAATTTTATTTTCCTTTGTTTCAAACTCATTAATCATACATTAACATGACCGAGAACAAAGGAAAATTACATTTGAACCAAGGATAAAATTGAACTACAACATATATATACACATTTCATTTAACCCTTTCACTCCAGGAATTGTATTTAGAAATTCTCCTTACCGTCTACCATACAATGATTATGATGTTAATTCTGAGAATTTGGTTTTGGATCAACTAATAAAATTACCCTAACTTATATTTTGCTATATTCTCATCACTTGTCTGCTTGATATTGTACTGACATTGTAAAGAGAAACTCTGTCTTGGTCACTTGTGAGAGTTAAAGGGTAAACAGTTGGTTGGTGTAAAAGCACATGTTCATTGAACACATGGGAAGTTCAGGGAGAAAAAATGATACTTTAACCCTTTCACCACCAAGATCTTCTTAATAGCAGGACTCCCACGCACGCTTTGCGCACGTGTGGCAGAGCCCCATACCAATGGAATATGGTCAACCACTTCGTTTGGTTGTCACGTGACTGACCGAGTGTACATATGTATGTACGTGCCCTCAGATTGCACTGGTATGGTAGGGGAGAATATTAAAATGAAGGGAGGGGTGACTCAGGCAAGTCTTGGAAAATGCACATCTTTTATGTTATCATTAATATTACGAACTTGGGAGCTCCGCTTTTAGGCTTGGCTAAATCTATATATTAATTCTCCTTACTTTCTGCTCTACAATTCTAAAAATGCAAATTTGAAGGACTTGGTATTGGATCAACTAACAATCCCTTTTTTCTTTATTCTCATCACTTGTCTGCTTGATATTGTATTGATAGTGTAAGGAGAAAATCTGTCTTGGTCAATCATGGGAGTTTAAGGGTTAAGTTGCCTATAATCTGCCTGATAGCAACTCTGTACTTTCTTGAGTGCCTGCCAAATTTCTCAACTGCTTCATTTCTTTACGAAACTAAAAGATCTTAGAGACATTCCCTAAAAATGAAGGACACTACTAACCTTGCTGCCTTGGTTTTGTATTCTTCTGGCACTTGGTGCATCTGACGCCGTGCATGGGTGAGGAGTGCTTCAATTGTGGTATAAGGACACCCACATGAGCATGTGAACAACTGCCCACACTTGAGTTCATGCCGTTTACAAGCATCAGGCAAACCAAAGCCTTTACCACACTTGCTGCAAACATTTGTTTTCTCTGCATGTACTGTCATGTAATGCTGTTTGATGAATGAGAAAAAATTGTAGGGAACTCAATACACACAAATGTTTCCAACCCTTTCACCCCCTAAATCTCATCAACAATTCTCCTTACCGTCTGTCATACAATTCTTATAATGTCAGCTCAGAGAATTTAGTATTGGATCAACTAATAATCCCCTAATTGATGTTTTTCTTTAAATCTTGTCCCTTGTCTGCTGGATTTTGTATTGACATTTTAAGGAGAAATTCTGTCTTGGTCACTCGTGGGAGAAAAGGGTTAAGATGCACACAGCGGACATAGCTGTAGCTAATTTATTTCGCAAAAGCCACCAATTCAAATCTTTCACCTGTGTCGGTTAGTGTATATTGCTTAATTTCTCCTCATAGTAGTTATGATCAATTGTTTTGATTACCTGTTTCAGCTGAGACATCCGTGGGAAAGGTCTTTTAGTACCTTGTCCTCGCACACAATGTTTAACTGGACAGTAAAAATGTTTTTCAACTTGACTCTTTCCCTGACCACGGGTAAAAAGCTTCTTTTCTTTGCTATTCGGCGCACTGCCATGAGTCTTGATGAGGTGCATCCTTAGGCATGGACGATTTTGAAACTCTCTGGAACACCCCTCAATAGGACAGGGGAAATAAGCAGCATCTTCCTTCCGAATAAGGGCTTCCACCGAAGGACAAACTTCTTCCACAAGAGTCGCCATGTTTTTTTCAACTGTTGATAGCTGAGTAGGAACTGGTGATGAACCGAACCAGACCCCGCAAAAGACTCGGTCGTCAATATGGCGGACGGATTAACTTTTAGCACGCCAAAGAGGAGACTGACGATTGATAAGTGTTCCTTCCGCGATGAAAAGGAAACATTCAAACGACACATAGAAGAACATCCCTTCAATCATGCGGTTTGTTCATATTTTATTTAATTGGACGCAAACGTCTCTTTTAATACAATACTTTATTTCAGAACAACATGCAAATACATAGTTATTAAGAAAAAGGAAACCCAGAGGTTGGCCCTATATCAAGGGTCTCCTATTTATGTATAAAAATCTTACAGAACTAGTTAATAAAAACAATTAGTTTGCCCAGATAAACTGTAAATAGACTTTGTGTTGGCAGCCTGCGGAAGAAAATTTTTGTTCATAATTTTTTTAGGCTATGATTTTGAGTATTCTGATGTATCTTTTACGTGGAAATTTTTACCCAGGGTACTTAGGATTTGGCACCTCTAGGTCCCTACCCCCATATCATCCCTCTCTAACCTACCCTGTCATTTTCTCTTTGAACCTCTGTCTTCTGGTGAAAAACTTTTTAATTGATTGATTGATCAGCTGATCAGACAGTTACTTATTAAAGTGCACCTACACCCAAAAAATTTTTTTCGCTTAACGAAGTAAGCTTATTTTTTTTAGTATTTCTGTGCAAAAATTTTTTTATTTGCTCAAATCTTCAATTTTCTATGCCCAGTCAAAATACGGAAAATTGGCCGCCATCTTGCCCCNGTTAAGCGAAAAAAAAATTTTGGGTTTAGGTGCACTTTAACCCTTTGCACCCTAACATCAGTATGTATATTCCCCATACTGTTCTCTATCAGGGCTGTAGCCAGACTTCCAACTTGAAGATGAATTAAGCAAGTTTTGAGCACTGAAGGTGTGGGCTGCTAGGGGGGTCTGGGGCATGCTCCCCCAGAAAATTTGAAATCTAGAGGCTCAGAAATGCTCTTTTAAGCATTTTCCATGGCATTTTTCTTCAGAAAAGTCAATTTTCAAAAAAAAAAAAAGGCCACAATCAAGACAAGGTAATTACCTCACCTTGCCTCATGCTAGCTACGGCCCTGTCTATGCATTTCTTGTAGCACTGACAAGGAGAATTTAGTTGAAAATAACGACTTTTTCAAGTTTACCATCATTCCTGTAATTCTCACAAGCCTAGTATTTTATTTAGCAGTGATACCTTAGTGTATTCAGAGAAACTGGAGGCTAATCACCTGGGGTTCAAAGGTTTATGAATTAATCAATCAATCAATCAATCAGTCAGTCAATTAATCAATCTTTAAAATGATATTTTTAGCCTTTCTTTTATTAAATTGATGCTCAGTTTTGATTTCCTTTGTATTTGCAGGTGGAGATAACTGTACCAGATTGTTTACTTGAGAATGTTACACAGTGTTTTCAGAACATTTCACCATCTCAGGATTCTTATTGTTTGATTGACCTACCCGTGCATGTCTTCACAGAAGTGGAGTTTATCAAGACATTTCTACAAAATGGTAATTTTCTGAAGCCTTCTTGTTTAAATTAATTTTTTCATGATATTTAAACAGCTGTTTCGGACTTGCCCTTCAGGCAGTTTATTTTTCAGAAAAACGTATCTAACTGTGTAACACATTTTGTGCATCTGTATCAAAATAGTTAGTGGTGAATTTTTAGTTACTATTTTGTGAACTTTTGAATTTGTTTCACAGGCCAGTTTATTGCACTTAGCTGGGAAACACACATTGATGCAGGCAACTGTGCAGCAGTCCTTCCAGCTGGTAAGAATGTGGCATATGGGTCAGACCTAGCAACCCTAAGCTGATAATTTGTAACTGTTTGAAAAGGTGTGGATTTTCACATTAGTTCATAGTAGTATTGATAAAGTGGACGTGGCCAAGTTGACCACTCAGCTGAATTCCATCAGTAAAATGAGTAGCCAGCTGGGAAAAATTGGGTCCTTTTTAATTTATCATCTGGTCACTGAGATGGAGCCCGACAGTGGCTCTTGCTCTGATGAAACAGAGGAAAACTAGGAATGACAGGTTCTTAATGTTTCACCCTCTATTTTATTCCTCCCTCTCTATTTTTCCATCATTTCCACTTACTAGGAGCCTGGTATATTAAGCCTACTAGTAGAATAAGATAAGATTTCAGACTGGTTTTTAAATTTATATATCAGAAGCAAGAAAGGTGATCACAATAGGGAGGTGCTTGTGATAAGGGTCACAGTTGCACTTATGATATAAAGAGAGAATTAGTGGAGTCTATACCAATGAGTTATAAAAAAATAATACATGATATTAATTTATATCTTACTTCTTGGTGAATCATATAGGAGTCCTCATTCTTTCTTTGGACAAAGACATGTATGAGCAGTTGGGTCTCACAGGGAAACCATCAGTGTTCCAAAAGAAACACAGATTCAGTAAGTACAGTCCCTATACTCACATTCATTACTTGAAAACCAGTTACTGACAAACTGTAATCAATTTATTCAAACAATTCCATATTATTGCTGCATGTCTGTTCAGTAACACATTGCAGTCTGACATAAAAATGTGGCAGACAAGGTGCGGCCAAGTCACAGTGAGGAAGTCTTCTGTGATCAATTACTGAACAGACCTGCGGCAACATGGAATTCATTTGCTCTATTTTTTTTTAATGAAGCAAAAGGATATTGTTCAAGGTGAAGTCATGCCTTGTGTATAACTTTCTGACTCCTCTAGTAGATCATAAAGAAGAACAAATCAAGATCCATGATGGTACAATTGAGCTTTTTTTATAATTATATATAATTAAAATGAATTAGTTCATGAACTCAGTGTAGTGTACTTTCAGTATCATTTACACAACTGCACCTGATGTACAAAGGTTTATGGGATTTTTATTATTAGCATGGCAGATTAACTTTGGTGAGGTTTGTGTGACTTTGGAAAAAAAAAAAAAAAAACAGGACATGCAGGACCTGGAAATTTAGTCTTGGAGTTATAATTTTAGGACAAGATACTTTTATTAATTTAAAACTTTTGAACTCTGTGGGATGGTGCAAAATTTTATTTGTTTTGAATTCAGATATAGAGATTAATCTGGCTTCATCAAATTTTGTTCCTGGAAAAAAGATCTATGACAGAGTCAGATGGTGTTTAAAGGACAACCTGCCTTTAAAATTCAAGTTTCTCATGAGTTGGACAAATGAAGGTAGGTAATGACATACTGCAAGTTAAACTCTTGCGTATATGGGACGTTAAACTGAAGCCTACTCTTGCGTATATGGGACGTTAAACTGAAGCCTATGTTGAAATAATGACCTGAGAGCTACATGCCATTCATCTGGTCCTCGGTTTCAATTGTCTCAAGTGAGAGACACCCTGGAAGATGAAGCAGTTTAAGGGTTACCCTGCGAGCCCTGGCTGCTGCATTGTTGTGTTTTGGTTAAGGCAAGAAACATACTTTACTTTTACAGTGCCTCTCTCCACCAAGTAGCATATTATTAAATGGTTGGTGTGTTATTAAATCTGTCAGAGAATTCTGATAAAATGCTGAGGGTTAACCTTGTTTTAACCAATTTTAATACCTATCTTAGGTCAGGTATCAACGAGTAAACTCCACTCTTTCTTCAGCTCATTTTGTGGCCAGATGTTGCCAAATACAGAGGATATGAAAAAAGTTCAGAACCATCAGAAAGCTCCAAAGATAAGCTTTGACAAGTCAAGTTTCACAGAAGATAGCACCAGCACAGAGAATGATGTTTGTGACTGTATGTCATTTTTTGAATGGCTTGGATGTGTTACTTGTGGAGTGGATTGGTAATCAACAGCTATTTGCTCTTAGCTTTCACTAGGCTGATCTATCCTTTCATTTTTACAGATATAAAATTTATAGTCATTCGTTGGACAGCTGAGATCTAATACTCATCATTAACTGTTTTGACTTTGCTACTTTTTATATTTGCCTACACATCCAGTAATAAATTGGACACTCTGACTGATGTTTGTGGTCACAACCTAAGGGTGCAGTGCATAATTATTTTGTCATTGACTTAATTACAATTGAAAATAACTTGTAACTATTATCTGACTAATACTTCCTTTTAACTTTCCAAAAAATAACAAGATCTTCCATGGAGTTTAGTAGTAAGGAACCATCAAATTATAAACAAAAACCAAAGTAAGCATATAAATGCATAGTGTATTAAGTAACTGTTTCTTTCATACCTATTACTCTTACATTCTATAACAGCTTTGATTAAATGTGATTCAACCTTTTCCTCAAACTTTTTCCCAGCTCAGCAGCCTATTCAGACAGTTATATATCAACATTAACATGTCCAGAACCATCCCGCAACATGAAACAACTGATTACATGCCGCTGGACTGGAATGATTACAAGCAAAAGCATTTTAACAATAATACAGACTGTAAGGTAAGCTCATAACTATAGAGCAAATGTTGGAAAGTGGATAAATATTTAAAACTAACAAGTTACCATTCTCAATGCTGGAATTAAAAGTAAACTTTTGTTACTTGTGAACTGACTCATTCAGCACTGCAATAGCTGGAGTAAAAACTATACTACGTGTATGTAATGAGGACAATATATACATTAAATACCCCATTTCTTTAACATCATCCACATGGGGGTAAAGTTTAACCTTTCCTAGATGGGAAGCTATTCTATGGCAAGAATTCTCCTAACAGTTTGCAGGTACCACTTACATCTGTTCATCTGAGAAATCTTAGTGTGGATAATTAGCTAAGATCTGAGCCCAATTTCTGTTCATATAGGAGATTTCAGGACTGTTACCAGGGTGAACATTGCTGGACCCATTAGTGGACTGACACTCCTTCTCATTTGAAGACATCAAAATTTTAGTAATCCCTCAACTTCCAAGGTCGGATTTTTAATTCTCCCCTTTGGTGTTACACATTTCCTGGTTAATTAGTTACAAGAATTTGATATTAGATCAAGATAACTTCCTCCTGAAAATTTTGAGTGCTCTTATTATCTGTGTGGTAGATAATGTGTGGATATCATTGGGAGAAGTTGCATGTTAATCACTTCTGGGAGTTAGAAAATGGAGATCTCTCCAGTCGCATTGAGAGGGCTTGCATGAAGAGGGCTCTTTTTTAATAGGTAAAAATCACTTAATATTAAATTTTCTCCTACAGAAACCTTCTAAAGACAGCTGAACTTCCTTGGGTATCAGTGACTGTGTGGGGATTTACTGACTGTCCAGTCACATGGAAACAGAAAGAACATGGACACTTTGTCAGTGGAGAGAACTTGTACACCTTTGTGGTGTTTCCCAGTGATCAGTACTGGCTCTATACAGCTATGGGTGGTCAGGATGTTGGTTTATAAGCTGTTATGTGGCTGAAGTACTGGGTGACGTAACAAGAAATTTGTCATTACCCATGATTATTGTCAAGTACATGTATACTCACTGTTGGCATTGGTTTCATCATTCACGGATTACTCCAGTTGGCATGTAGACCAGTACAAGTGAGGCGCTGGCATTTGCCCAATCCAACAAAATATTCTTTTTGCCACTTGCTGTGAGTAGGTAGTAATTCAGACCGGGCAATTTTGACACATGTATTTGCATTGTGTTGTGTTCTTAGGCAAGACAGTTTACTCTCACAGTGCCTCTCTTCACCCATGTGTTTAAATGGGTACCAGCAAAGTTAATGCTGGGTGGTAACCCTACAACGGACTGGCATTCCATCTGCGGGGGGGGGGGGGAGTAGAAATACTCCTAGTTGCTTCATGCTACAGAAACTGGATTTAAGCGCTGGCCTGATCAGCCACTTGGCTCGTAAACTGGCTTTACACATTTCCAAACCAGAGCCTCTTAACAAAGTTGAAGGCCCAAATCACTTCCAACAGTGTTAGCAAGTGCAAAGTCTGCCTTCATGGATTAGTTAGCCTCCTCCTCAAACTTTTTCTAGCAGAGCAGCCTTGCCAGACAGTTGTACTGTATATCAACACTTACATGTCTTGGACCATCTAGAACCATTTGATTTTATGTCAGGTATTACATATTTATTTAAAATAGATATTAGAAAGGAAAAAGAAGTCTGCAAATAACAACTGGTAATCGGAAAAATGTTTAATTTGAAACTAAAGAATGGAACAGTTTGGTTTCTGATCCAGAAAGCAATTAGAAGACAGTGCAGTCAAAATACCTAGAATAAACAACGTCATCTTCCTTGGAAATCTTTTTTTGAGATTCAACCACATTAATTTTGCCTTTTGTCAGGTGAAAACAACAACTTGAAAATGTACTCAGTAGCTTGATAAATGAGCTGGTTGTGGACAAAAATTTTTTTTCAGGCCTGTCTTGTTTATAGAACAGACAATAATAAACTTTTGTCTGATATTTAATGGACATTACTGTAACAGTAACTATGATTTATTTCTTGAGGCAAAGTGTTGCTTGTTAACGTATATTAAATGAATTGAAGATGACGTTACATTGTATGTAATTGAAATGAGGGTTGAAATGTAACTCACAGGCCTGGATGTCAGAGACAAGATTTCTCACTCAAACAAGTTAAGCTCCATACCTGTGGAAGGGCAATTCAACTTTGATGTTGAATGATGATGTTTACAAATACCCAAAAGGCCTGGTACCATTCAAACTTTGCCTATACTCAGAATTATCTACAGAAATGTTCATCTCCTTGGAATAAACAACAACATTCTATTTCAAACAGTTGATTTACGCTATTTAATATATTTCCAAATCCAAAATCAATTGTTTGACAAGCCAAGTTTAAAAATACAATCATCATTTGTAAACTATTCATGTTAAAAATGGTTATTTGCAAAAGAAAAAAATTAAATTAAAATTGAAATAATTTACTAAAACTACATTTATAAGACTCACTGTAAAAAATAGCTTGGATTCATACTTTAAAAGAAAAAGAAATAATTCTTATAAAAATAAAAGTGATCATAAAGTAACTCGGAAAATTTCAAAAGTAACACAGTTGTTTTAAATTTGTTGTTGTTTTAAAACAACATGAAAAGATGCATTTCAAACCTTAGCATTTAATTCTATCATTAGACTCTTAATTGCTACTGTCCTCCAAACATTGTTTTTATGTAGTTTTCTTTTCTTTTAGCAAAAGTGAGTTCCTTGATAGAGAATGCAGATTAGTCAGATAAGATGGCAGTGGTATGTCAACAAAACTCTGTGATCCAAGATTTTTGATGCCTTCTAGAACACTGGATCCTTCAAACCTGACATTGCATGAGATTGGACTGATAAGCTGAGGGAATTGTTGTCTGCTGCGTAGCCTTGTCTGCATCTTAAAAGTGAATTAAAAGGAAAATCAGGGTTGATTTATAATATTGGTAGTTTCTGACTGAATGATAAATGCATGCATTAAATAACAAATAAATGAAAGAACTAGCATGTAGAAAATAAGATGTATACTGCAAGGAGGAAATTGAAAATATTTAAAATCTAAAGGTGAATAGAATCAGGTAACATTTTGTCCAAAGAGAAAATCACACTTAAAATGTGGTTGAATTACTTTTCATAATAAATTCTAACAGAAACCAGAAAACCCTACTTTGACACCTTCAAACTGACACATTTTAATAGGGAAACTGTTCCAAGAATATCAGCTGATACCAACATCAATATTATTAAATGATCATGATTTTGCAGAACTTGCTAATCTGGTGTACTTTTTATAAGTATGGAATTGTCATTGATTCTTAAAGTTCAAGTACACTGCTTGATTCATGAGATTTCAAAAAATTTAATTTAATAAATATTACCCTGAGACCAACCTTAAACTCTATCCTTTCTAACTTAGGCTGTAGATTTGTGCCAAATGCACCATCTATTAATTGCTGTCTTTTTTGCTCCTCTGCCCAGTTCTCACTTGTGATTTCCTGACTTTGTAAAACTTCCAGTTTTCTATCTGGATTTAACACGAAACATAAGACAATAAATTGCTTTCATTTAAATCCAAACGTGTTCCAACTACAACTTACACCTGCTTAAGAGGACACCTAGACCTCCTTTTAAGTCCTTCATTTCTGGAAGTACACAGTTTACACTTGACTCAACAAGTTTCATGTTCAGAGAAAAGTATTTTTATGATCATTAATCTCAACTCAACTTTGGTGCCATGTAAATGTAGCAGACATCAATGGGACATTCATCTTTGCTTGGGTGAACTAAATGTCCCATTGATACGGAATGATTTGCTTTGCACAGATTAAACAATACAAAGAAACTCTGTGGTGGGAGAAAGGCTCTTATAACATAACCAAAGTAAAGCACGCGCTCTGATTGGTCAATTTAGCGTCCCCCATTTGCCCATGGGTGTACGCTGCTGATGTGAGCAAATGCAAAGACTATTTTTCCGCGTGCGCTTGTTTTTTTCTGGTCACGTAAGATTTGTTAAATAAAAGGGAACTCTTTAGCTACAATGTGTTAATGTTATGTTATAAAACAAATGGTAAACACCTCAGCGTACACTATTGAGTTATGGATGCACTTGGGAGGTTTGCTAAGCACTCAAGAAGCTAGAGTCGCTCTCGGCTATCGCCTCGAGCTACTCTTACGCTTCTTTCGTATGAGGGCAAATTAAACATCAGCTTGTTTGAGGGGTTAACAATTTTATACACGTCTCATCAGAAGGATGGTTGTTAGAAAGTTTTGAGTAAATGTAGGCTGCCTTCTGACATGACAGTTCAAGTAGAAGGAGGTGGAAGTTTTTTTTTCCTTTCTTTCTATGACCTGGCTATTTAACCAAGTAGGAATTTTTTCTAGCTACCGGCTACTATTTACAACCTCACTTGATCGTCTCACTATAGCAAAAGTGTAGTTACCCCGGTACTAACTGGTCACTCTGCATAAAAAATGAAAACCACAAGGGTCCTGGAGACTTACTCTATGTACTGATCTCACATTGTTCCTATCAATTCACATTCATGTTAAAAAAAAAAACTAAAATATATCAGATCTGTCATTCCCTTACCTTTCTCTCTCTTTCTCTTTCTACTGAGAGGGTTTCCATCCACCTGATTCAATCTGTACTTACTTAAGACTCCCTTCAAGAGACCAGAAAGCTGTCTTGTCAGCTCTCAATTATGAAATATAGAATTTGCGTACAAAACTTCAATCCCATAAAACTGAGTGGCAGATCTAGAAGGGAGGGTCTAGACTTCCCCAACCCTTGTCATACCGGTGGGTGGTTTTTATTACTTGTCCAACAAAAAAATTATGACAACAAAATTGAATATTACTATTCAACTGGCTGATTGTTTGTTTGTTTGTCTGTTTTTTTTTTCTAATAGAAATGTATGAATGCGATTGGAGGGGGGTGTGGGGGTGGGTTGGTCAGGTTGAGAATTCATTTTGATTCTCCCTTTCAAAAAGTCCCTGATTAGCTACACTGACTGTAATTGATTGTTATTGGCTTCACATACTTGAAATGCAAACAGGGAAACAAAAAATTAATTGAGAATAAAGTAACATAATTTAAAGTGATTATTATCAAGACTGACAAGAGGCAGCCCAGGAAGCCATCTAAAATGCACAAACTGAAGCTAGACATAGATCAAGTGGCAACAAATTACATGAGTTGATGAGAGGGAAGGAGGGCCTAACCTCATATTACCAGATTGAAGCCAGATACCCAAACCACTCTTTGACAAATTACCTTGAGTTCATATATTTTAATGTAGTTAGACTTACCTGGCTGCTTTTATTTAGCACAAGTTCCTTGAGTGAGGGCACGTCCCTTCCTGACAACTTTACCTCTTCCAGAGTCTGACTGTGCAGTAGAGTTGACAGAGTCTGTGTGCAAACATTGGTAATAAACCACCCATGAATTAGGGTTTTTGAGAAAGTGTTTATGAACAAACTGCCTTTATGATTCTGGCAGTAGGCCACCAACCCAAAAGGTTATGAAATTAAATTTTAGTGTATCATTAGCCAATAAGTAGTTGACCATCGCGGGACTACTGACTGACAATCAGATTGACTACTGAGTACGTACGTGTATTAGTCCATCTACACAATGTCATGAACCTTGGAAAGAGCATGTTTTAATAAGCAGCCCTGCAAACCCCCAGAGAAAGCTAACCCTTACATCCCCAGAAGTGATTAACTTGTAATACCTCCTTGTGATTCAAATATGTTATCTTGCAATTGAGTAATGAGAATACACAAGCGAATAATAAATTCAGGGTTCATACACTTTTTCAGGCCAAAGATTTAAGGACTTTTCAAGGACTTTCCAGGACCCTACTTAGAAATTTCAAGGACTTTTTGTTATGACAATTTTACCTCAAAACCAAGAAAAATGTTTCTGTTAACATCTATGTTTTGGGTTTACTGATGGTGCAAAACAAAAGCAGATATTTTTGGATGTTGTACAATAAAAAATCAAGGACTTTCAAGGACCCAAAATGGAATTCGAGTACTTTCAAGGCCTTGAAATCGGCCTCCTTAATTTGAAGGGTTTTCAAGGGTTTTCAAGACGTGTACGAACCCTGGAATATCAACCAGAGGGTGTTCTATCATAACACCAAATTCTCCTATCTAATTTACAAGAAAATGTATGGCATTCAGTTGGGAGAGATACTAATTGGATCTTGGAACTTAAGGGCTAGTTAATTCTTTTGTCATCGACTGTAAGACACATAAATGATACGTAAGAGATGAAAAGTACAATTTACCTGGACAATATACTGTTTGTGGGCTGCTTTAATGGTGGACATGAAGACATATTCAGAGTTAGGATAGTAGATGATGAACACATTGTTGCTGAGCAAACTGGTGGAGGATCTATTACAGAATTGAATTCTTGTCCATAACCCATTTCTCCAGAGATGAACATAAATTTCCTTTAAAAAGGGTTTAAAATATTTATCACCTGCTCATACAATGCATATCCACTAAATCACTTGTATCAAAGGCATTTATAGAGTTTAAAATCATGATCTTAAAAAGGAATGTCACACCCACAAAGGGATAAAATCAGGAAGTTCAGACGGTAAAAGAGTTACACTTCAAATATTATATGTTTATCTGACTACCCCTGAACATTTTATTCGTGAGATTGCAACATTGCCCATGTTTTGAGACTGCAAAGAACAACCTAACCTTTAAAAACTGTCCTCAAAAGTGCTTGACACTAGTCAGACACTGCTACAGAGAGTTTAAATTTTTCAAAAAACCTATTACCTTTTTTCATTTACTGTAACAGTAAGTCCTACTTTTCTTTTTTTCAATCCCTTAGTGATCTGTTTGAATAATTTCTTGTAGGCGTTGCACAGAAACACTTTCTTGAGTCAAACAGCCTTTTTTTTCTCTTTTTGCAATAAACAGTTACAGCAGTTCTGGATAGTGAACTGCCTGCTGTGGTCTCACAACTACAGTCAGTTTACTAAAATGATCATATCCATTGTTTAATTTTAGGCACATTATTTTGAAGACAACTTTTGAATGATTAGATTGCTGTTTTAAACCTCAAGATATAGTTTGTAGAAAAGTGATGTACAAACTTTAATGATATGGAATGAGAAAACTGGAGAGGGCTACATGCAAGTTCAACAGGTCTGAATTAGAAAATTTTTCCACAAAATAAAATTGTAATATATAAGAATCTGAACTCACCACTTTGAAGTAAAGTCCAAGACAGGATTTCAATTGTGACCTAAATTTCCAGGGTTCTGATGTATTTAGCATTTTCTTGGGATCTAAAAAGTAAAGTATGTGCACACAGAGAATAAACATTAACCTTTTGATCTCTCAGAGTAACTAGCATCTAAGTTATCCCTAAAATATCACCCTTGAATCAAATATTAACTTAGAGTGGAGCTGTGGTCTAGCAGCACCCAGTCGCCAGACACCTTACTTTTGCTCTTGGGCGATCCAGGAATCTTAGCTTTTTCATAAAAAGCATACGCTGGGCACCCTGGATTTCACAGTTTCAGAGCACTGGCTCCCTTCCATTTTTCTCAGAGTACAGCCTTGCTTAAAGGTAATGAGAATAAAGGAAATGATCACAAACTTAAAAGAAGCTCTTGATTTCACCTGAGGAAATGTATAGAGAACATTTTAGAGAATGTGCATACTGATATTTTGGAAGAATGTTCCTGAACAGTTAAAGTGCACTCCTGGTCTTCAACTACAGTAACAAGGAACAGAGAGATGTGATGAGCCAATAGGGTAGCTGGGTAAATTCAGTACAAGCGGTCATTTTTTTTGTTGTTGTTGTTGTTTTTTTTTTTTGGTGATAACAATTTGAACATCCCATTGCACGAACATAACATTTCCTGAATGTATCAAAACCAGGATCGATTATCTAACATTGTTATTTTTGTTGATTTTTCCCGTTAGAATCCTTTCGAAGAGGGAAAGAGATCGGTTTGGGGACTTATTCATTCAGCTACGCAACGCCCAGTCCGCAGATGGCCCACGCATACGCAGACCCCAGGACGCTTTACACTCTGTCATTCATCCTACCCTTATAGCGTTTTGCAGAACCAGGGCAGTTAACTTTAAAATAGTGTTAAGGAGCCAACCAAAGCGTTTCACGTAAAGAAGAGAAGAAACCCACTCTCTTAAATGACATGCTAAGATCACTTAGCTTTATTGCAAGCGTGAGATCTTACTTGTCTCCACCTTTTTGAAAACAAAAAACAAATTTCACATCGCGGATCCATTTATATCTTGATGTTTGTGCTTATATTAATCCGGCAGAACGTGTGCGGTGCCTGAGTTTCTGTTCCTGCTCTCGCCGTCNTTTTTTTTTGGGTGGGGGGGGGAGTCCATACTATTTTTAATAGCTGGGTGTATAGTTAGCCTGTCACCTTATACTGTAGTTAAATGGTCATAACACATTTTTCTGACTGGTTTGTCATTAAAAATAAGTGATTGTCTTTGAGTAAAATATTGTTATACATGAGTATCAAAGGTTACTGTTGAGACTGTCACTTACCAAAGCCTACAAGTTTGTATACAGTCCATTTCTTGCAGTTAGGATGAGACTGGTGATCTGAAAAAAGCCCAAATGCAATAAACTCTCTCAATTAACTGAAACCTCCAGTGCACAGAAAAAGCTCCGAGGGATCCCTCAGATACTCAATTGGACCTCCTATTTTTCTTTTTCTTTCTTTCAGTTTTCCTTTGTTTTCTTGTATAGTAAGGCATTGATAAGTGTACAACAAAGAAATTAAAATCAAACCTAGGATCGATGAAATGGAGCCATGTAAATTATAAGCTTATTTATATTTAATAAACTTTAAGTGCTAAATTTTTTTCGAGCCTTTTTTCAGTTTATTGCAATATGTACATTTATCGAGTGTTAATGCGTTCATGTTAAAAAAATAGCTCTTATCTTTAAAACAGTATACTGAACAATTCGCAAAAATATGAAAGTTTGATTCGAATTGACACACAGCTGATCGATCACACAGTTCCAGTTTATAATTATTTTTGTTTTAATTTCTGCCGTTGATTTAGACTAAGAGTACAAATTTTGTATTTATTTAGACCAATGGAATCTATTAACATCAAATAAAAACCAAAAAACATTTATATCAGTCCAACAGGTTACCTAAGAGAAACGAACTTACAGATTAGATCCATTAGGGCAACATGTTCGGCCGTCACATTTTTGTCAAAACACTTCTTCAGAATGCGATTGACGAAACTTTCCTTCGTTCCTTCTGTATCCAGCACACCTTCTTTCAAAAATCCATGTTTAATAAGTCCCTCAAGTAGTTCTTCTTTGTTGAATTTCTTGAATAATTTGCACAAATCTTTGATGAGAGGGTTGTCCGCCATGTTGGCGATTGCAAATCGAGCGCCAAAACGTGAACTAGCCAATCAAATATGCTTCCGCGAAAAACAACTTCTTATAGGGGATAGGGTGGACTCGGAAAAATTTTATTCTAAACAAAGAAAAGTAAAAAATGAATTACTGGAACAATATTTTCAAATCACTAGTAGCAGAATAAGATTTCTAAAAGCCTCCATGGGCTTTTAAATTTTAGTCTTATTATAAAGCTATCTTTCCTGGCAAAACTGATAACCTATACCTCCCTACTTGATAAGTAGTTGTTCTCCTAAGCCTTAGACCGCTGACCGTCTCATAGGTAAATTTCAAGATGGCGACGGCAACATGCGAGATCTACCGCAAAGTTTTAGGAAGCGATTTGTCCCAACGCGTGGGAAATTCAAAAGTTTTGATGGTTGGGGCAGGTGGTATCGGCTGTGAACTTTTAAAAAATTTGGTTCTAACTGGTTTTAAGGACATCGAAGTGGTGAGTGCCCCAACTACTGATGTTGTGAAAAAATTATGACAATGCACATGTGAGCAAGCAATTGACAGCTTTAATTTAAGCGAAACGATTGAAAATATAAGTAACGGCATGCTTAATTAGCTGTGAAAGCTCTTACAGCTTACTGGTAAGTATCGCAGCTAGATCGGCTCTCTATGGCTGGAAACGTCTTTCACAATGATTTTCAAAATTTTTGACATCAGGCTTGGTTTTGTACTTAAACATAACTTATTGTATGCAAAGAGCCTGAATCTGAATTGCATTTACCGTGATGATGAATGAACAGATGTGGATGACGTGGTCTGTTTGTTAAGCTACTACAACTCACTGATAATTGCTTATATTGTAAAACATGCACACTGGCCTTAAAAGTAATCATATAAATACTTTCCATTTCCAAATTAAGTTTTGATTGTATTCTGATCGTCTTTGTGAGGGAAGTCCTGACAAGGACTGCCCTTGGTGATGTTGCTTGGCATTTTAACAACCAGAGCAAAGTTGAAGTCTCAGTCACTGCCATTGACAACAGTTCTATTGAGGAAAAACTCTTAGCCACATAAACAGAGGAAATGATCAATATTATTTGGTGAAATTTCTGTTATGACCTGTTTGGCCCCATGCACTTTTTCATTGAAAAAGAACAGAAAAATCCCAGTTGATACCCAATTGTACTCGATAGTGCGAGAAGACAAATGTCTTGACCGGAAGTAAAATCCAAGTTAAAGGGAAAATACAGAAAGAGTGGTGGCTACAGGTTTAGATGCAAGTTGAATGCATCAGGTCATGTCAGGCAGAAAAATATCAAAAGCTCCAATGAGCACATGGAATACATTGCATGTGCAGTAAAAGATTACAAAGAAATCACGTGTTTTTGATACAATACAGTGGAACCCCTCTAAACCGGACCCTTGTTAAACTGGAATCCTCTCTATACTGGGCCTTTCTTTCAGCCAAAAATCTGTCACACATTTTCTCTATTTTTAACCTCAATAAACCGGAACCCCTCACTTCTGGAAACCAGACGCTTTTTTCAGTCCGTAATCACATACTGATAAAGAAATTGACCTTGTTAAACTGGAGCAGAAAGTTTTAAACTTGCTGCCAAAATCAAATCACATGTTTTAAAACGTGATTAAAATTAAAATGGTAATCATGCAGCTGTAAAATCCCAATCAGAAGTGAGAAACACGCATCGGCTAATTACTCGTTGTTCTATCGGTACTGAAGCAAAAAATCTGAAGTCGACAATCGTGCGGCTGTTGTTGGGTTGAATGACAGCCAACAATAGGGGTCAGGTTAAGAGACTGTCATGTTGCGGGTGAAAATCCCTAGTGAAAACAAACAAAGTAGCAAACATCGCTATGTCTGAGAGACCAGCGAAATGCCAAAGAATCAGGTTATCATTAGAGAAGAGAATTGAGTTGATCAAATGCGCAGATTCAGTGACTAAACCAACACTGAAGGCTCTAAGTGGTGAATTTGGGATCGGTAAATCAACTGTAGGTGATAATTTAAAGAAGAAAGAAGTCTACAATTGAATTAAAAGCGGCGATCATATTACCCTGTGTGTAACACTGAATTTTTTTGTAGATTAAATAAAATTATGTTGAAAAGCTTCCTCGTGATCCATGTTGTTAGTTCCTGTACTGATGTGCTTTGGTGGTGCTCGTGTGCTGTGTACTGGTACTTACAGTCAGACAGTACATTCTGCTGCATAAAATTGCCTTATGGGTAAAACCTCAGTACACCGGACACCCCTCTAAACCAGACACTTCCCCTAGTCCCAAGGGCATCCGGTTTTGAGGGGTTCCACTGTACTCAGTTTACTAGGAGTTAATGGTAATTCCAATTTTCATTATCTAATTTAGATTGATCTAGATACCATTGATGTTAGTAACTTGAATCGCCAGTTCTTGTTTCAAAAGAGACATGTTGGAAAATCCAAGGCACAGGTACTGTAGACAAATGTGAGGCTTTCATTATTTAAGGATTATGCTGTAAGGATTCAAACCCCTCCCAGTTCTGATTAATGACCTGATGTTTCACCAACTGAGCAGCAGTACATGTGCATTAGCTCAACCATTTATACAGATTAATTGTGACAATGATACATGATGGTATTTATTGCTAAATCATCTGTATTTCATTTATTGTGCCCCATTATATTAAAAAGAGCAGAATTTATACAAATAAATTAAAATGTGAATGCTCACTACTGAGCTGAAAGATGTACCAAAACAGAAATTCACAGAAAATTGTAGTATATAATATAAGTATAGCTAGTTCAGAAGGCTTAGTAATATTTATTATCTAAACAGTAATATTGAATGATCGTCAAGGATCAGCTATACTTTAAATTTTGGGGGTAACTCTGTAAAGAAACTATGGCAGGTATTTTATGAGATTATTTGACTTTATCAACAGGGCTGATAACAGAAATTGGTCACTCTAAATAGTTTCTGAAGCTGACATTCAACTAAACAAATAAAACCAAATTATCTTAATGTATATTTAAGTGTCCTGTGTGTAGATGAATTCAAGAAGATGGAAATTTTTTTCAACCTGACTAAGGTAGAAAGCAAATGTTGAAAATGTTTCACAAGCTTTAGACACTAGATTTCCTCAAATTGACAAAGATTTTGATCTATTGGTGTTGTGAATTAAAGGATGCTAGTAAAAGAAAGCAAAATTGTACAACTCACAGGTGTCCCGTGAGAGTGCTCTTCAATTCAATCCTGATGCAAACATCAAAGCTCATCATGATAACATAATGAGGTGAGCCACTACGAGTAAACTACGGTCATTACGAACAAGTTAGCCCAAAGGATAGTGCGCTGGACTGTTGTGCGGGAGGTCGAGGGTTTGAGCCCCGGCCGGACCAACACTCAAGGTCTTAAAATAATTGAGAAGAAGTTGCTACCTTTCTATTACATCAAGAAATGGTTAGATATTCTAGTCTTCTCGGATAGGGACGAACAAACGGAGGTCCCATCTCCTGCAGGGTTGGGTAGGAGACGTAAATTTCCCATGCACGAGATTACTGTGTGATGGATGTCCTCCCCTGGGGTGGGATGGATGGGAAGGTGGACTAGCTCGAATGGTTCATATGTTCCTTTCTAGTCCTTCCCCACTGCAAATTAATGCAGTGAAAATGGAATGAATTAAATTAAAATTTAAAATTAACATTTTTATCCCTTTACTTTTCTCTTCTCAAATTCTTTTCTGAAACAATGATATATGTACGAGATTTTTCTTACCTTTTTTCAAACCTCAGCCCTGACTATGGCTTAGACTACTTCAAGCAATTTGATGTGGTGATGAATGCTCTGGACAACAAAGGTAAGGTGATTCCACCCTCTCACTCAGACTTCTTTGTAAATTCTGAGTTACATCAAGACAAAATCTTTAAGTGAGGATTCAGTTATCTAGAAGTTTTTCATTGGTTAATAATTAGGTAGATTTTAAAATGCTTTTTGTGACATGATAATAATATTAATTTATTGTTTCTATGTTGCATGTAGCGGCTAGGAACCATGTGAACAGAATGTGTCTGGCAGCGGATGTTCCTCTGGTAGAAAGTGGCACTGCTGGGTATCTAGGACAGGCTACTGTTATTAAAAAGGTGTTAATCTTTAATTTTTTGCCAAGGTTACATTTACAGTATCTTCCTTGCCTGAGAGATGTAAAGGTTGAACTTTGGAATGAAAGGTTCCTATTCAAGCCCAAGATAGGTAGCCTGTATACAGCCACTCCTACCCTCCAAAAGAAAATTGGGAAGGAAGCTCCATCCAGATTGTCGTTTGGAGGGTATGGGTAGCTGTACATGCTATAGCTAGGTCTTTGTGTGGTGTTTTTTGGCAGTACAATTTTTTCCACAGTGCCTTTCTCTACACAGTAGTGGTATGAGTATTTCTGGGTATTGATGATCTACTTAGGAATGCTGCCAAAATTCTAGAAGGGCCAGTGAGGTAGCGGTAACCTGCAGCATTCCACATACAAATGGAGTGGCAATGCACTTTGTCATGTTGTTTTTCAATAAAGCATTATATGAAAAAAAATTCTTCATTCTGATTGGCTTAGAGAAATGCAGTTTTCAGGAACACTATGTGAAAAAAGGTAACAAACTGTTAAGCTTATCTTCAAACTTCCTTGAGGCTAAAAAAAATTTAAATTTAAATTTGAAAAATTTAGATTTAATGCGGCTGCTTTACATTTTGTAGAAATGATTTTCATGCTCTCCTTCTGTCCCTTCCTAATTATGAAAAGCTATCGCAAAGATAATTATTCTTGTGTGTTACTAACAAGTTTCTCATGTAGTTTGGAATGAAAAAACTCTGAATCAAAATCATGTAATAACAAGTGCAAAACCCAGTTGAGCTCATAAAGCTTCACAGTGCATCTCAAGAGGAATAAATCTTTTCAATTTTCCACTTTTGTTACTCTGCCTTACTCTCAGTGGCATGAATTGTGTCAAAGTGCAGCTTAGTTAGCTTGTAATTTGGTTATATCAACTAAATTGAAATTGTAAATTGGCTACTGTAATGAGTTAAAAAGCTGAGGTTTCGAACGTTAGCCCTTCGTCAGAGCGAATTTTAACTTAGTTAGTTGATATAACCAAATTACCTTGTTACCCCACCAATGCAGCACCACAGCTTCTTTAGAAACTTTCAGCCTTAGTTAGCTTGTGTTTGTTTTCCCTTCCTTAGGGGGTAACTGAATGTTATGAGTGCCAACCAAAACCTACACAGAAGACATTTCCAGGTTGCACAATCAGAAATACTCCTTCAGAACCAATCCACTGTATTGTGTGGGCGAAACATCTTTTTAAGTAAGTCATGAGTTATCTATCATTTAAGGTCAAAACAATGCAAGTGTGGTTTTAGTTTTATAGTCACTGACTGGAAAATGTTGTGCAACTGGAATAAATGAACTTCCATATGGTCAGTGATGAGATTATTTTCATCTTTTTTTTTCGGCGGCAGTTTGGATGTTATGCCATATTTGCAATTCCCTTTACTACTCACATGCTTTACCATTTTGCAATAAAACCCCACACAGTTTACTTTTATAGAGAGTAAATTATAGAAGAAGCGGGTACAAATAGAAAGTGTGATGCACAGATTAGTTTACCAGGTGTTGTTCTTAATCTACCCATAGCCAGCTCTTTGGTGAGGCTGATGCAGATGAAGAGGTATCTCCTGACACTGAGGATCCAGAAGCCGTGGGTACAGCAGGAGAGAAGGCAGTCCAAAATCAGGAGAAGGAGCGTGGGTCTGGAGGTATAGAGAGAGCATCTACAAGAACATGGGCTGAGGAGATTGGATATGATCCTGAGAAGTTGTTTAACAAAGTAAGTTACATGTAAGTCAAATAGTGATCATTTTTATGGACTCTCCTTACAATTTGATAAAAGTGTCAAGTAGACTGGGAATGAAAATTAAGAAATGATCAACTCAAGGATACTGTCTTCACAAAATGCAACCATCTCAGAAGTGCTTCATAAGCAGTTTGGAAAAATTAGCTTTCATATTTCAAGAATTATGTGTGACTTGCTTTATTATTATTTTTTTTAACTTGTCTTTTTTATTTTTTTCTTTATGAATGGCTACCTGAAAATAAATTTTTGGTAACTTCATGTGGTCTTCCCAACCCCAAGTAACAAATCATAAGGCTTTTGATGGCGTATTGTTGTATAATTGCTCTCTCTTCAGTTGTTCAATGAGGATATCAAATACCTTTTATCAATGGATAAGTTGTGGAAAAAGAGAAAACCTCCTGTACCTGTTGACTTTGAAAGTATCAGAAAAGGTAAGGAGTGATAATTTTTTCCTAGTTGTTTTAACTAATCATAGACCCACAATGTCACAACCCCAGTACTTTAAGATGAGACAACTTTACACATTGGATATTAAATCACTTTTGTTGAACAGTCTTCCTTGTGAAGTGGGTCAACTGTTTCAGAAAACTTTTCAGCTCAAATAACTCGGACTTCATTATGCCCCCAACTGGGGGGGGGGGGCAGTCTCAATGTATCAACTTTTGCCAGTTTGTCACTGTAGACATTGGCAACTTGAACCTTTTTGGGGGTGGATCGAGATATTTTTGGTAGGGGGGTGTCAAAAATCGACCAAACCATGCCTGCTTCCCTCACCTGATTTCTCTCAGTTACTCTGAAAAATCAGCCAGTTGTCTGAAAATGAGTAATATTATGAGATCTTATAGTTGCAAGAATTTTGGTTTTAGACAAGTAATTAAAGAAACTCTCCAGTATAATAGGTGTGGGGGTGGATCTTTGGGACCTTTCCGTTGAATCTACCACTAGTTTTCACTTTTCCTTGTAAGATTTCAGGTTATGGAACTGCACTCATCTTTTGTTCAAAAACAAACAAACAAACAAACAAACAAACAAAACAAATTAACCAACAAAACACCGACCAATTTAAAATCAAGTGTGATTGTTTTGCAGGATGCGACACTAATGAAAAGGATGCGGATAATGGTTTACAAGATCAAAGAGTGTGGAGTCCTGATGAGTGTGCAGAAGTCTTCAGTCAAAGGTTGGTTTCATGGAAAATCACTTTTTGCTCGATTGTTAAAAGGCAAGTACATATTGGCAAATCACAACAGCGGTTCATTTCCCAAAGAGAAAATGAGAATGTAAACAAAATGCAGTTGACTGTGGCTTAATCGAACCTTCTCCACCAATAGTGCACAGAGGAGGGAAGTTTTTAAAGAAACGGTGGTGCCACCATGAAAAAAATTCTAGAGCGGACGTTTCGAGCTTTAGCCCCTCGATGTCTAGCTCTCAGCTCCTACAATTCTAGAACTCAAATTCCTACAACAATTTAATTTCCGTTGTATATACCTTCTTTTTTTTGTAAGTTTATTGAGGTCAGATACTCTTAATGATAAGAATTACTGACGAATATTGTCAGTGTTAAAATATTTTCCATTACGCTACCTAATTTTGTTCTTTTCATCGCGAGAAAACAATTTATTAACAACGTTAACTCCATCAAGGCCGAAAGATATAGGCGGTTCAGTCAGTGCATGCTTATATACTGCAGGTCTTTGACTATTTGTATAATGATTATCCTTATCATTCCAGTGTTGATACATTAAAGAAGCAGTTATTGACCCGAGGAGAAGACCTTGTGTGGGATAAGGTCGGTATTTCATTCAATTTCACTCACACAAACTAGTAACAACAGTGATGTAGATAACGGAAAGGAACTGGGGAAAAAGAAAATGAATTAGGAACTTATTTACCTTGCTGAAAACAACGCACATACCTGGTAAATCCTACCCACATCCCTTGGCATGCCTACCAACAGCTTACCAACAGACTGCTTACAGTTTCAATTAACTTGGGTTTAGTGGTAAAGGTACGATCAAATCAGTGTTCGCCGGTTTACTGACCAACGGTCCCCTTTCTGCCCACTAACTGCAAATAGTCGGCCAACAGACAGCTTATAGTTTTTCAACAAATGTCTACTGGTTCTTTTGGAGAACTTTTTTTCCTTTCTGACCTTTCTTTTAGCTCCACAATGTTTCTATATTTTTCATAGTTGAAACAAAATTTAAGGCTTGAATTTTTACATTACTGTCCATAAAAGAATTGGTTTTCTTTTTTGTAACTGTACATGACATAGGATGATCCTGCCTCCATGGACTTTGTTACAAGCGCAGCAAATATCAGAGCACACATCTTTAGTATTCCCATGAAAAGCCGCTTTGACGTGAAAGGTTTGTGAATCATAGAATATACTTCACCTAGATTCACTCTAACTATCAAGCCGTTGATTGTAAGTCAGCAATGCTTTTTTGATATGTGATCAACACCTTTTTTTTCAATGTGTAGCTGAACAAAACCTTCTAGACCTAGTAAAATTGGGATTAATGCGTTTACCCCGTCAACTTCATGCGTATAGCTCTCTTACTTCTTCTTCTTGTTAACGTAATTCAAACTTTGTCCTCGGTTTCGTGTACTCACAGCACTTTGTTCTTCTTTTGTTTTAGCTATGGCGGGCAACATTATACCAGCCATTGCCACAACAAATGCTATAATATCTGGCCTCATTGTTATGCAAGCTCTAAACATCCTCAGTGGAAAGCTGGACAAATGTAAAACGGTACGTTTCCGCAACAACGAATTAAATACCATCAAGCCTTTGTGGTTTTTCAGACTTTTGAATTATCCCAGCATTATTATCTGATTTGTGTTGTACTTCTTCCCAGAGTGCTCTTGGAGTTAGTGTCGTAAAACCAAAACCAAAGTAATCACAACGACAGGGTTCGACACTTGGCTTCCTGCATTACTAGCCACCGGGTTAGTGATTTCTAAAATTTACTAGCCCGAAACACAACTTGGTAGCCCGGATCAATTTCCCTCGAGGTCTACTTCAACCCCAAACACGCAACCCTTCCTCTAAACTTATTGGCAAAGTCTTTCAAAATGATAAAGAATGGCGTTTTCTCTTTCGTTGTGATAACATAATGTGCTATTTATGGAAAAAGCTAAGTAAATTTCAAGTGCGAGGCGATCGTGCGAAGCGATGTGCAAAGCATCGCAACATTGGTAGGGAGAAGACTGGGGAAGACATTGACCATTAAGCACAGAGTCTGGGATCTAGTGATGGTTACGATCGACACGCAAGACAGAAAAGACGCCAGAAGATGAAAGATTTATGCCTTCCTATTTAAATTCACGACTCATACACAAGAGTGGGTGTGCAGCTCGGACTAGGAGCCTGAGTATTTAATGCCGTCCGACAAAGTTACACAGAGTAGTAAACGACTAGTCATCACCTCTCGGGCTAAAACGTTTTGTGTGCCGCCGCCTGATACGAAAACCCGAAAAACCCAATGAGAAAAATAGGAACGTATTCTCCGTCCAAATGTAGGCACACTGACCTCTGGGGGTTAGAGGTAAAACAGCTTAAATACATACAAGATAAAATTTAACAAAAACTAGAAAAGTTCGAGAGCTGAGATGAATACATTACAAATTTCAAACCTTAAATACGCCATACAACAAATGACTCAATTAACGCCATAGCGGCCCACGTGCTAACGTACCAATAGGAAAATATTACATTCTTTTTCACGGCCACTTACAGCTTAGCTCCCCCGAATGTAAATACATTTCTTTATTGTTATTATCATTGCAATTTAAACGATTTTTTTAATCAACTGTGAGCTTCAAGTAAACTAATTATATATAATTTCTTTCAATTTTTCTACTAGCCAGCGGGCTATTAAACGTTGTTTTTTACTAGCCTCGGGCTACCGGGCTAGCGGAGATGTCGAACCCCGAACGACCAATCAGAATAAAGGAGAATACTC